CCGATCCACAATTATAACTGTTGCGGCGTGCAACCCGATCCACACATAACATTGTTGCGGCGTGCAACCCGATCCACACCCGATCCACATATAACATTGTTGCGACGTGCAACCCGATCCACAATTATAACTGTTGCGGCGTGCAACTCGATCCACACATAACATTGTTGCGGCGGCAACCCGATCCGTAATGTATACCTCTCAACCTTGCCGAAGCAACGGTCACAAATAAGGGCAAGGGAGTAAATAAGCATTTGGAAAGAAATCCCAACAAGGGTACACAAACAACCACTGACAACCATGCAAGAGTAAATCGTTATTTCTCTTTTTCTCTCATTTTTATATCCTAACTCCCCTTAGCACTCGTGTCAAGCTCTAAGGCATTTCTCATTTCACATGCTCTCACCATTTGTATTTCAGACCGAGCCATTGCTCCACGAAGTTCTACAATCACAATATCATTCCCAATATGTTTACCACGTATAGAAGCCATCAATGACACGGAAGGCATAACAATATCCAAACAACTCACATATAAGGACTCACGGTCATGCTAGACCCCAATGTATAGGAACTCGTCACCATGCCAATACACCATACTCGATCATTTAGCAATTAGCAAACAAGACTCGACTCCTATTCCCTCAAGCTAGGGTTAAACCAAACACTTACCTCGAAAGCTCCAAACTCAACTCAAGCCTCTAGCATAGCTTTACCCTTCGAATCACCTCAAGACCGTTCGAATCTAGTCACAAATTATTCAAATGTATCAACAAATGCTAGTTAAACCAATTTGAAGGCATAAGAATGAATTTTCCAAAGTTTTGCCCAAAAATTCCCAAAACGCCCCCCGGCCCACGTGGTCAAAACCCGATGTTCGAACCAAAACCCGATTACCCATTCCCCCATGAACTCAGATATATAAGTTATTTTGGAATCGGACCTCAAATTGAGGTCCAAAACCCCCAAATTTTGAAACCCTAGTTCTACCCTAAATTCCCAAGTTTCCCCACTAAAACCTTTGTTTTGAAGTTGGAATTATGTTTAAAGATGTTAAGAAGCAAAGAAAAATAAGTTAGAAATCACTTACCAATCGTTTTGAAGGAGAAGGATCGTTTGGAAAATCGCCTCTTATGTTTTGGGTTTTGAAAAAGTGTAAAATGACTGAAAATCTCAGATTTATATACTTTGCTGAAGGACTGGCGCGGTCCGCGCAAAAATGCCCCGCGTCCGCGCTGAGGAAGGGAGGGAAAACAACTCTCTGAACCTACCCAGCACGGACCGCACGATTTTGGTGCGCGGCCGCGCTGGCGTCTTGCACCTGGGGCCTTCTCTGAATCTCCCAGCGCGGACCGCACGAACTTGGTGCGCGGCCGCACTGGTCAAACCAAGGCTGAGGACCCCTCTGAATCTGGCCACGCGGACCGCGCGGACTGCACCGCGACCGCGTGGCTTTCCAGCGCGGACCGCGCGGAAATGATCGCGGCCGCGCTGGGGCCTGCAACACTGCAACATCTGATACTTTAAGCCTAAGGCCTCCCAGGACCTACTCAATACTCACCCGAGCCCTCGGGGCTCCAACCCAAGCATACACACTAACTCAATAACATCCTACGAACTCATCCGTGCGATCCAATCGCCAAAACAATATCGTAATGATCAAATTAGGCCTCAAGACCCATGATTTCCTTCCAATTTTCATAAGACATCAAGTTTAGAGTTTTTAGTCCAAAACACGTCAAACGACGTCCAAATCTAACCAAACTTTACAGCAATTGCTTAAATCATATTTAAGACCTCTGCCGGGCGTCGGATCCAAAATACGAGCCCAACAGCACAGTCTTCTAAACAAATAACACTTTCAAATTCTTTAATTATTTTCAGAAAACAATTTCACACGATAATTCATTTCTCCGACTTGGGACCTCGGAATCTGATTTCGGGCACACACCCAAGTCCCAAAATTTCCTACGGACCCTCCGGGACTGTCGAATCACGAGTCCGGGCCCGTTTGCCCAAAACGTTGACCAAAGTCAAACTCAATCAATTTAAACATCAAATTTATTATTTTTTCTCACAAATTCATATTTAAACGTTCCGGCTTCGCGCCCGGAATGCGCACACAAACTCGAGGCAACCCCAAATGAGGTTTTTTTTGCGGCCTCAGAAGTACAAAGGGAGTAGGAATACAGGTGATGACCCTTTGGGTCGTCACAACCTTTTTATTCAACTTAATCCTAGCAAAATTATATATCTGTATATTCTAATTGAATAAAATACATATATTTCGTGAAAGAATATAATTTATGTTTATGGTATATTATATGTAGCAACCCCTTTGGGAGGCTACTACTTAAGAAATAAATCAAATTCCCTACTTACAAAATGTTAAAAGAGATATTAATTAAAAATATTCAGAATAATTTAGTAGCAAAAATAGGCCCATGCAAAAAGGTTCAAAGTGCAATATATTTTTTTTCCCTGAAAATACACCATAATTTTTCTTTAAATGAAAATACAATGTCAAAATGTTAACATAATGTGATGTAACCTTTCTTGAATAATCAACAGATTTAAAGCAACTTTCTAACAAATTTATACTTTCATTCAACATCACTGCAAGTTTGTATTATCCGAAAATTTCAAACTATCGGGTATATAAAAAGGAAACTAATTTTCTCCTTTGTACATATTTACAAGACAAAGTGTAGATTCAGCATATTACAAGACTTGACTTATTGACACACACACTAAAAATAGCAAAATAAGTTTTCAAATTTAAGTTACAAGATTTTTGGTCTTAAAATCCAACAAGCCTCCAAATAATGTACACAATGTGACATATATATATTAATGTATATATCAGGTATATTCTGTATATCATGTATATCAGGTACACGTCCCAAAACTATGCAAAACCAAGGTGCATATGCAAATGTGATCTCCAAGTTCTCCAAAAAAAGATTACTTCATCATGGCCATTTTCATATTTCATCCCGAATATTACCTACGATAGAAAATAACTATCGCTAAGCATAAAGTTTAGTGGTGTATAAACTTTTGGCTTGAAGTCATTAAATTCTCCAATTCCCCTCCTCAGACGTAGTTAGCTCAATTTAACATAATTTAAAACAAGTGAACAAATATATCAAACATATCAATATCAAACCTTGAAGTGCTTCCCAATATAAATAACAATGTTCAAGGGTCTAGAAAGTGTATACTATAAATCTAATAGAGTATACCAAATATCCATTTTTTTTCCCGCCCAATATGTACGTCATGCCATCACACTAAGCATAATAATCTATCAAGATGGACCGAAGCCCCAAATCAAGTATGGTCAAAATCCAATATACAAGAGAATCAAGAACCATATTAAAGATGGCTTCCTAGTTCGTACTTAATACGGACAAGTTTCATAATTCAAGACGAACTACACATCCAAAGTCAAGATGGCAAAAGATCCGAATCAAGAGGCATGCCAAGATGAGCGACAAAGTCACTGCCACAAGAAGGACAAAGTCCCAACAAGAATGCAAAATGATCAAACAATCCGCACAAATGGGCGATTTAGCAAATATCTTACAATACTTGATATAATACGAATATAACAATATAAATTGAAGAGAAGAAAAATAAAATATCCAGTTATTTCCAAAATATTCCAGCAACCAAAAAGAGTACAAGTTTATACACAAACCTCGGTGTTTTACCACAACACAATTCAATCACAAGATGTTCGAATCGTCTACGCCGTAAACAAACCAAATCTGTCCACTTCCTCAAATACTTCCCCTTTGATTTCTCAAGGATTTATATACCTTAAATACATAATCAAATATCTACATAAGTTCAGTGATTTAACAAGTCAAACTAAACATGATATTGGTGAAAATTACCCAAAAACGTTTGAACAAAAATTCTGGACAGATTCACTAGAAGGAGTTTTGACTCAGTTTTGAAGATCTATACGGACAAACTAGACTTTATAGTCTTCATAAAAGTTGTAGGTCTATGTCTTACCATTTCAGAACATCTTGAATCACCCCCATATCAATTTTGTACAGAAAGTTATGCTAAAATTACTAACAACAGTACAGGGAGTATTTCAAAAACTAAAAATCTGGGCAGCACCTGTCCTGTACTTCATGATTGTTTTTCAGGTACATCCCAACAAAACTAGATTTTGGTTCCTTCATAAGAGTTGTAGAGTTATAAAATAACTTTCCAGAAAGTCCTAGATCTCTTAAATCGGAGCTCTGTACGAAAAGATATGTATAAAATACTAGTAGATGTCTAGTTCGAGTCTCCCCAAGAGCAAGGTGGGAAGTTCTTGGAGGGAAGGATGCCGGGGGTCTATTTGGAAACAACCTCTCTACCCCAGGGTAGGGGTAAGGTCTGCGTACACACTACCCTCCCCAGACCCCACTAAGTGGGATTATACTGGATTGTTATTGTTGTTGTAGATGTCTAGTATAAAAACGAGTTTAGAAACTTACCAAGAGGAACAACTTGATCTTCACCCAAAAACGAAAATTGCTTGTTGATTTAGTAGGAATTCCCTAATTTTTCAAGAAAAATTTAGTGCTGTGGAGGAGAGAGAGAAAGAGAGAGAGAGAGATATGGTCTTCCTTTTTTTTCCTTGAAGAATAAACCAAAACAAATGGGGATTTTTTTGGATAGATATGAAAATAAAATGGTTCCCCAACTACTAAATAAATCTTAGATAAATACAAAAGGTTGGAAACCCAAAAACTTAGTTATAAACTATATTTAATAACAACTAGTCAAACAAATATTAAGTGTTACATATAGCAACACCATGGAACTTCATTGTCAATATTAACACAACCTAAAATAAGAAATTTTTCATTTATTGACCATTTCACATTTAAAAAGTGCAAGTTAAAATATTTCTTCGTTATAAAAATGCTCAATCAAGAATGCAAATATTATAAAAAATTTGGGGTGTTTACAACTCTCTCCCCCTAAAAAAACTAGTCCCGAAACAAATGTGGATATTGAACTCGCATATCCTCTTCTCGCTCCCATGCAGCTTCTTCGCCTGAATGATTTCTCCAAAGAACCTTCACTAATGGGATTCTCTTCTTTCTAAGCTCTTTTATCTCATGCGCTAAGATTTGGATTGGTTCTTCTTCATATGTCAAATCAGGACTAACCTCAATAGACTCAATAGGAAGAACATGAGATGGATCTGAGCGGTATTTTCGAAGCACAGAAACATGAAAGACGTTGTGGATCTTACCTAATTCAGGTGGCAAAGCTATCTTATATGCAACCGGACCAATTCTCTCAAGTATTTCATAAGGTCCAATGAATCGAGGACTAAGTTTACCCTTTTTGCCAAATCTCATAATCTTCTTCAATGGAGAAACCTTTAAAAATACCTTATCGCCCACCTGATGCTCAATTTCACGCCTTTTAAGATTAGCATAGGACTTTTGTCTGTCTGAAGAAATTTTCAAACGATCCTTGATGATTTTTACCTTATCTTCAGTTTGTTGCACAATCTCAGGGCCCACAAATTTTCTTTCACCAATCTCGTTCCAACAAAGAGGCGTTCTACATTTTCTCCCATATAAAGCTGCATAAGGAGGCATGCCTATACTTGATTGGTAGCTATTATTGTAAGCAAATTCTATGAGGGCTAAGTGTTTGTCCCAACTACCCTTAAACTCAATAATGCAGGCTCGAAGCATATCCTCCAAGATTTGTATTACCCTTTCAGACTGACCGTCTGTTTGTGGATGGAAAACGGTACTAAAATTCAACCTGGAACCCAAAGCTTCTTGCAAGCTAGACCAAAATCTGGATGTAAATCTCGGATCTCTGAGACACAATAGAAACAGGGATTCCATGCAGCTTCACAATCTCATTAATGTATAATTCTGCTAAATGTTCCAGTGAGTAGTCCATTCTGATTGACAAGAAATGAGCACTCTTAGTTAGTCTATCTACAATGACCCTAATTGCATCATGATTTCTTTGAGTGCGTGGAAGTCCAGAAATAAAGTCCATCGTTATCCTTTCCCATTTCCATTCAGGTATTGACAAAGGTTGCAGTAGACCAGCTGGGACTTGATGTTCAGCTTTTATTTGTTGACATACCAAGCATTTAGAAATGAACTCTGCAATGTCTTTCTTCATACCACTCCACCAATAGTGCTCCTTAATGGTCTGATACATTTTAGTACCTCCAGGATGCATTGCATAAGGTGAACTATGTGCTTCAATCAAGATCTGCTTTCTCAATTCATTATCATTAGGAACACACAACCTATTTTTATAAAATAAGGTACCATCTTTCCTTAATGAAAAATCTGATTCTCTTCCATTTTGGACTTCTTCAACCCGTTTCACAAGCTTCTCATCTGACTTCTGCGCTTCTTGGACTTGCTCAAGTAAGACTGGCTTGACTTGAAAATTAGCAATGATAGAACCATTAGAATTAAATGAAAGGCAAACATTCATGGCTCTTAATTCAAGAAGCAAAGGCAAAGGACTTAGAGTTAAACTTGCAAGGGAATTGCGACTCAACGCATCTGCAACCACATTGGCTTTACCAGGATGATAATCAATCGTGCAATCATAATCTTTGATGAGTTCAAGCCATCTACGTTGTCTCAAGTTTAACTCTTTTTGTGTACCCAAGTACTTCAAACTCTTGTGATCAGTAAATATGTGATACTTCTCTCCGTACAAGTAATGCCTCCAAATTTTCAAGGCAAAAACAATGGCAGCAAGTTCAAGATCGTGAGTGGGATAATTCAACTCATGTGATTTCAACTTTCGAGAGGCATAAGCAATTACTTTCCCTTCTTGCATCAAAACACAACCCAAGCCACGATGAGATGCATCACTGTATACTACATAATCTTTCTCTTCAGCTGGCAAAGAAAGTATTGGAGCTTGTGTCAACAAGGATTTGAGCTTTACAAAGCTCTCTTGACACTTGTCATCCCATACAAACTTAGTATCTTTCCCCAAAAGTTTGGTCAAAGGAGAAGCTATAATAGAGAAGCTCTTCACAAACCTTCTGTAGTATCCTGTTAAACCCAAGAAACTTCTTATCTCAGTTGGAGTTTTAGGGAGTTTCCAATCAACAATAGCTTGAATCTTACTAGGATTAACCCTCACACCTTCAGCTGATACAATGTACCCCAAAAAAGCCACTTCATTCAGCCAAAATTCACATTTGGAAAGCTTCGCGTAGAGTTGTCTCTCTTTCAGAATTTGCATGACAATTCGGATATGCTTATCATGATCTTCTCTATTCTTGGAATAGACTAAAATGTCATCAATAAACACCACCACAAATTCATCGAGATAAGGCTTGAATACACGGTTCATTAGATCCATAAATGCAGCAAGAGCATTTGTCAAACCAAAGGGCATTACCAAAAATTCATAATGGCCATACCTGGTCCTAAAAGCAGTTTTAGGAATATCTTGCTCCCTCACTCGCAATTGGTAGTATCCAGACCTCAAGTCAATTTTTGAGAACAAGCTGGCACTCTTCAGTTGGTCAAACAAGTCATCGATTCTTGGCAGTGGGTATTTGTTCTTGATTGTTACCTTGTTCAGCTGCCGGTAATCAATGCAAAGCCTAAGAGTGCCATCTTTCTTCTTCACAAATAAAACAGGAGCTCCCCAAGGTGAAATACTGGGACGGATTAAACCTTTCTCAAGAAGTTATTGCAACTGAGACTTCAACTCTTTTAATTCAGCTGGAGCCATTCTATAAGGAGCGATAGAAATAGGAGTAGTTCCAAGGACAAGATCTATAGGAAATTCAATCTCCCTTTTTGGAGGCAACCCGGGAAGATCATCAGGAAATACATCAGGAAAGTCGCACACATTTGGTATGTCCTTAAGACTTGGACTCCCCAATCGTGTATCGACTATATGAGCAAGATAGGCATCACAACCTTGACAAATCATCTTCCTTGCCGAGACCGCAGAAATAATATTAGATGTCCATGATCTTTCTCCTTGAACTACCATGTGTGAATATGCAGGAGTTCTAAATGTCACTTGCTTCAACCTACAATCAACCAACGCATGGTGCCTATGGAGCCAATCCATGCCAGCAATAACATCATAGTCTTGGAAGGGCATTTCAAGCAAGTCGACAGGGAAGACCAGATTTTGAATCATGAATGGACAATCTCGGTAAATCCTATTAACAACAGCTTGATGACCTAATGGACTCGTGACCAGCACATCAAAGTCAAGTCTAACAGATTTAACCGTATTAGGAAATGCAAGTGATGAGCAAACATAAGAGTGAGAAGATCCAGGATCAAATAGTGTAACAACAGGTATGCCAAATAAGTGAAATTTACCAACAACCACGTCCGTCCATCCTGGTCATTCTTCTGTCTCATAGCATAAACTCGTGCAGTAGTTCTCGACCCACTAGCCTGATTAGCTCCACTCGAACCTGCTGCTTGCATATTTCGAGATCTAGCATTGCTATTAGCTTGAGAATGAGTAGTGACAGGCTTTTGAACTGAGCCTTCTGTATGTGTATAAGAAAGAGGATTAGGATTAGGACAATCCTTCACCTTATGATCCATACTTCCACAATTAAAACAAGCACCAGAAGCTCGTCTACATGCACCATAATGATTCTTCCCGCAATGTGCACAGGTAGGTGTATGAGTTTTTCCTTGGCCATAACTTGGAGTACCGGCAGTAGAAAAATTTAACTTATTCCGCTTATGATGTGATGATTTATGTGTACTCTCGGTCCTGGAATAGTCAAAATTTTCCTTTTTGGATGAACCGTCATAATCTGAATTACCCTTCCTAAACCTGTTTTCTCTTCTACTAGCTTCTTCCTTGTCAATTCTTTCCCAAGTAAGTGCAGCTGAAATTAGCTTGTGAAAATCATCCAGTTGTAAGATTGCCACAGATTTTCGAATGTATGCATTCAAACCTTCTTCAAATCTTCTGCACTTGTCTCTTTCATCATCAATAATACCTCCAGCATAGCGAGAAAGCCCGAGAAAGCTTTGTTGATACTATGCAATAGACATACTCCCTTGTCTTAAATTCAAAACTCCTTCTTCTTAGCATCACGATAGACAGGGGGAACATATTTTGCACGAAATAATTTCACAAAGTCATCCCAACTCAGTACCGGAGGTTTTGCTTTTGCATTTGGAACACTTACCCACCAATCATAAGCATCTTTCTGTAAAAGAGAGATAACATACTTAAATTTGGCAGCATTAGTACACTCCAGTTGTTCAAAGACCCTCTCCATGCGCTCGAGCCATTGTTCAGCTACCGTGGGATCTGTAATGCCTTCAAATTCAACTCCACCCATTTTTCTCATCTTCTCAAAATTTATTTCACTAGGTTCTGACATTGTCCCGGCCAAGTGACGAAAGAACTCAGCCATCTGCTGGAATGGAGGAGTCACAAATGGAGTATTATGACTCATTGCTCTTGGATTACCGCCCACTTCATTTCCACTAACACGAGGATGATTTAGGTCAGGCAAAGGTTCCTCATTTCCTCCCTGAAGGTGAGGTATGACATTATTCTGTGCCTGACTTTCATCAACAGATTCAATAGCTCTATTCGAAGAAGAGGACATATTAAAATTCCTATAAAAGATAAGATCACACTGCATTAGGGACATGTACATGATGCATATGCACACAGAATACAATAAATTAAACTAAATTAAATTAAATTAAACAAGTATGCAAAAATTTATAAACTCCAAGAAATTTTCAAGAAAGGAAATATCAATAAATACAGGTAATATCGCAATAAAACAAATCCTAGAATCACAAACCGTGGCTCTGATACCAAAACTTGTAGCAACCCCTTTAGGAGGCTACTACTTAAGAAACAAATCAAATTCCCTACTTACAAAATATTAAAAGAGATATTAAATAAAAATATTCAGAATAATTTAGTAGCGAAAATAGGCATGCAAAAAGGTTCAAAGTGCAATATATTTTTTTTTCCTGAAAATACACCATAATTTTTCTTTAAATGAAAATACAATGTCAAAATGTTAACATAATGTGATGTAACCTTTCTTGAATAATCAATAAATTTAAAGCAACTTCCTAACAAATTTATACTTTCATTCAACATCACTGGAAGTTTGTATTATCCAAAAATTTCAAACTATCGGGTATATAAAAAGGAAACTAATTTTCTCCTTTGTACATACTTACAAGACAAAGTGTAGGTTCAGCATATTACAAGACTTGAGTTATTGACACACACACTAAAAATAGCAAAATAAGTTTCCAAATTTAAGTTACAAGATTTTTGGTCTTAAAATACAACAAGCCTCCAGATAATGTACACAATGTGACATATATATATTAATGTATATATCAGGTATATTCTGTATATCATGTATATCAGGTACACGTCCCAAAACTATGCAAAACCAAGGTGCATATGCAAATGTGATCTCCAAGTTCTCCAAAAAAAAGACTACTTCATCATGGTCATCTTCAGATTTCATCCCGAACATTATCTACGATAGAAAACAACTATCGCTAAGCATAAAGCATAGTGGTGTATAAACTTTAGGCTTAGAGTCATTAAATTCTCCAATTCCCCT